GAAAAAGTGAGTTATGGTCCCCAAGTGGTCCCCGTTGAGAAGCGCGAGATACACCGTTGTGGGCGGAGCTTGCGGCGACGTGAGCGGAGCAGAACTTGACAATTCGTAAAACGACCCAGAGCACTCTAGACACCAGGAACAAGTGGATTAATGTCAGTGATGGGTCACCTGTTGAGAAGTACGAGGCACACCCGTTGTGGGCGGAGCGTGAGGAGAGCTGGGCGGGGCCAAACGAAAAAGACTTTGAAACGTTCCCAGAGCAGTCCAGACACCGGCAAAAGGTGAGCAGAGGTGTGCAAGTCCTCGGCCATTGAAGTGAGATAGACACGCCCATTGTGGGCGAAGCAGGTGTCGAGGTGGGAGGGGCAAAAGTCAAAAATTCACGAGTTGCTTGCAGAGCAGCATATGCACCGGGGACATGTGGACTGAAGGTCACAAGGGGTTAGTGGATGAAATGGGGCAGACATCCTCAAAATGGGCGGGACGTACTCGAGATGGGCGGTGCTTGCTTCGAGCTTTATATTTTGAACCTGACGAGATCACAAAAAGTTGTTGGAGAAAAGAAACAAGCGAAAGTTGAGTGTGTCTGTGATGTGGGAACCGTCAACAGTGGCGCGCCCCTGTGAACGGCCCGGCCTTGCCGGGCGGGCGTGGCTTCGTACGTTACCTGCTTTCCGTACCTTTAAATGTACGACTAATACCCGGCTTTCTGTCATCTCTGCACTTCATCAATGCTCCTTACCATAATGTCATGCACAGTAATAGTGTTGAAAATAGCAGGTATGATGTTATTGGTCAAGGAGCGTTGGTCATCTGTTCAGATAAAAGAAAAGCCGCATATCAGTTGGGTATATAAACATGTGGAAGAAGGTAAGCGCGGCGAAGCCGCGCCCGCCCGGCGAAGCCGGGCCGTATCACAGAAGGAGGCGCGCCGGCGTCAGCCGGCGAGCCGACTGGTCTCAAAATAGGTTGCCCGGAAAGTTCTCAGCGTTTTGTGTTACTATTTTTGTACATTCATTGCTGATTAAAAACTCATTCTCCCTTGCGTCTCAGTAGTACATCCTGAAGAGAATTTTTTGCGCTATCTGATGGTATAATTGCCGTTTCACCATTGCTTGATAAACCCCCTTTTCCCAAGACTTTTTGAAGCATGTCAAAAGAGCAACTTCGGACGATATTTTTCTTCAACTACAAATTGGGTCAATCCGCAGTCGAGACAGCTCGACAAATTAACCAGGTGTGGGGGCCCAATAGTGTTGGAGAAAGCACCGTGCGACAATGGTTCGACAAATTTCGTTCTGGAGATTTCAGCCTTGAAGATGAACCTCGAAGCGGTCGACCTAAAGCAATACCTGATAAGTGGGTGCTCCACAATTTGAGTGACCGGCAGGAATTGGCACAGTGGTTGGATGCCGACGAACCACCGAGGCAATTTCCAAAGCCGAATCCTCACGAAAAAAAGATTATGGTCACAGTGTGGTGGTCATCGGCTGGTGTG